AATTTCATTTGGGTGCAGCGTTCCATGACTGCGCAATTGTCAGTTAAAATAACACAGCGCTGTAACGCAAAAAATGGCCTGGTCAGGAAGGGGGGGAATCCTCAGGAGGGCAAGTGGTTAAAGTTTTTTTTTTCTGGTTTTCTTGTTACACACATTAGGCTTTGTTTAAATGGATGCCAAAATTCGAGATTTTAATTTTTCCGTTATAGCCAATTGGTAAAATTACAACAAAAAGTAAGTGTTTGCAAATATTTATATGATGGCACTGGCAAATAATTTTTCAGAGCTCCTCATTGTGTGTAAGCCCATGATTTCTTAGTTCTTTTCCCTATCATCGTTAAATTAAAACCTATGCTGGTATCTCTCAATTCAAGTTTACATTTATGAGTTAGCGCCTATCAATAAGTGATAATTTTTCCATTTGTTAGATCCGGGTGGTTGACTTGGCATCACTGTGATGGAAAGTAACATTTTTGCAGTTACACTCTGAGTACTTTGTTACATGATAAAAAAATACACAGGTTACCTTAAGGCCCCATTCACACTAGCATAATTTCTCTTGTGTCTGCTTTGCACAACAATGGAAATCACATTATTCTCTATGGTGTCTGTTCACATCAATGCAACATGGTGCTGAGATTTTTTAAAAGGTGCAGGTGCTTCTTTTGGTGCAGCACAGTGCATTTTTTGGCACCCTAGACTTCAATGGAAACGCAAGAAAAGCGCATTTAAAATGCATTACATGCACTTTTAGTGTGTTTTTGACAGAATTGTGTGTATAAAATCTAATGGTTACAAAAAGCATGAAGAACGAAAACACATCAAAAACACACTACAAAAATGATGTGAAAAAGGCACGATTATGCAGCAGCACTAGTTTGAATCTAGGTGCAATGAATACCACATAGCAAAACAATGAGATCCAGAACTATGTGCAGCTAAAGTTGTACCGATGTGGATTTCTTTTAAAATGTTTTTAAGGTTCAGAGTTTTTTTTGCAGTGTGAATATATACTTAGGTATGCAGTAGTCCTAATTTTGATAAGCATATATGAGGCCATGCATCACCATAAAGGATCAATACAGAGAGTTTGAGATGAGAGCGAAGGCCAGGCTTTACTCTAAAGCCCAGTTCACAAGTTGTGTGGTGGGAACCAGCATTTATTTGTAAAAAGCACACTTCCACATGTCTATGGGCATTTCTGGCCCATAAGAAGCTGCTGCTCCTTTTTTTTAGGCTATGAGCATCTTGTGATTTTTAAATGCGTGTTTTGCCACTATTATCGTGCTATTCTGTAGTGAGACAATTGTAGCAAAATCACACTGTGTCTGGGGTGCCATTAGGAATGAATGGCACCCAAACTTGTGGTTTACTGAAATTTGGAATCGTGGACAGAATTTCAGCGATTTTGCAGGAGATTCCAAATTGTCAAGTGTGAATGGGGCCTTAGGAGTTGCAAATAGATCTGCAAATAGCTTTAGCTGCCTATGTCTTCACCTATGAATCACTGATGCGTGGTTTTCTCTGAAGCTAACCTCTACTATATATTTTTTTATCCATGTATTAAAATCTACACCTAAGGTATAGCCTATGAAGAAATATACATTAAATAATCAGAGGCAAGGGCATGCCCAATGCAATATTTAGTAGACCCATTACTAAGTAAAATACAAAAATGGTAATTGGCTATTTTAGGCTTCATAAACAGTTTCATGGGGCAAGCATACTTATCTTCTATCCAGTCATATATGACCAGCGAAAACAGGAAAAAAACACAGATGATCACATGATTTTTGCATCATATCTATCCTTCTGTTTACATTCAGTTACCAAAATCATTTTAAAGCAACTGAAAATATCTCTAACAACTACTGTGTGCAGTTCAACTAAAAAAAGAAGCAACAAAAATAGTTTCCATTCCAAAAACTAAAAAAATGATCAACTAAATGAATTAAGTCATACTTAAATATAAAATTATACAATTTGTCAGTAGTGTCAATACATGTTGATTTTCAATAGTCTGACAAAAGATACAAAATGAATCATTTGCCATGTACACATTTTGCATTTTTAAACAAAAACTTATGTACCCTGTTGCATTATAGTCAGATATCACATTTTAAAGGGTAAATGCACTTTGCCATGAAAGTCAGCATACCTCCCCCACCACCATCACCACCTTTTGCAAACTACTTGGTACATAAGCAGACTGCAGATTCATGTTGAAGTTATATTTATTGCCATGTCCTTCCAAGCTTCCTGGAACTCTGATGCCTCAGCATGACAGTGCATGTGCTCCCTGTCAGAGGAAAATAGATATCTCGATAATGGGGTGTGTATGGTGCACTTTTATGAGAAACTGCACTAAACCTTTAGGCTGAAACCACATTTGTGCAGTTTTGCCAGATGCATTTTCCACTGGGAATCCACCTGGTATTAAAGGCATTAGAATGTGTTGTTTATTTACAATGCAACCCATGTTGATGTTTGTTTGGTGCATTTCCTTTATTTCAACTAGAATACACATTGTGCCAAAGTGTGGTTCCAGCCTTAAGTCATTTAACACTTTGGTTTCAAGTGAGATACATCTCCAGCTGTGCTGAAAAACTCTTTAAAAAGGTAAATATTAGGTGCTGCATCCACACCTAAATAATTAGGTAGCAAATGTTACAAGTAACCAATTAATGTCTTTCCTCATGATTTCAAGGCCTGGACGGAATTTTCTGTAAAGACATGTAAACAAAATGACAGTTCTATACAAAGTGCAAATCACTTAAGGCTCACTCCTACAAGTCCGTAGAGGTCCTACCAGGCCTGTTCAACTTATCTCCACCATCATACAGCACAGCAACCTAGCTAGATAAGCTTTGGTAGAAAGCCAGTTTCACTCTTTCAATGTGATAGCAGAGTTTAATTGCCATTGCAGGCTTCAGATCCATACAGTCTTGTACAGCAGGTAGACTGAGCAATAGCAGTGCCCTCCCATCGATTTCCTAAATGAGAAAACAGAAAAAAAAATGTAAACACAAAGTACTTATTTTAAATCATTTTGGACTAATACACAAGATCGGTAATGCGGAAATGATCTGTCTTGCCACTTTTTACAATGTTAAAAAGTTCTTTCATGTGACCATGCATTTCTCCTTCCTGATAATGGAGGACAGGGTTGCAGGACACTGTGCATACATAGTGTGCTTATATTCCACAGTCTTTTTAGCTTAAGGGCTTGTTCATACTCAAATACGGTGTGAGAAACCCGCATTCCACGTCGTTTCACGCACCATGTTCAAAATGTACTAAGTGTCTTCTGGGACCTGTCACTGTCACATGTCCCAGTAGACTAGGGGAGGGAGGGTAGGAGGACTACGTTCGCTTTTGATCACCTAGGTGATCGCAGCAGAAGTGGGAGCGGGTAACTGTCAATTTGGGGTACCCGCTCCCCAAAGATGCCAATCCTTAATGGGGAGCGGGGAACCAGCCTTTAAAGTGAAACTTCCCCTTTTGAGTGGAACTCAGCTTTAGGATGGAAGAACTACATGAAAATGATAGAGACTATGATTTATAAGATACACATATGTAAACACAAACATTGAAAAAGAAAATTACTTAGGGTAACATATACGTTAAACCCTCTGTCATGACCGGGGGCAGTGCCGCAAGGGCCGGGCAACTGTTTGCAGTACATGGAGTTACAGTGCGGTGTTTACGCCCTTTTCATATTGCCTCCTAGCCATCTGCCAACCTCCCTCTGAAAAGTGATTCACCACAGATCACTTTTCACACGAGCAACAAAGACTGCAACCCGAGGGATCAGAGCCTTGATCATAAAAAAAATCAACAGTGGGAGTGCCTTTTAGTCTGTGGTGTTCCAAACAGAAGGTAAAGACAGAAGAGAATTTACTAAGACTGCAGCATTCTAAATCTGAAGCAGCTGTACATGGCAACCAACGGCTTCAAGCTTTCCTTACCTGGTCTTGGAAAAGTTTAGCTAAATGTGAGCAGTCTGTCGACTTGATGTACTCTACAACTTCATTGACAGTCCAGTCCAGTGGGCTTCCATTCAGTGCCAGAGGTTCTGTAACTTCAATACGGATATCCTGCAAAGAGATAACCATAACACATACAATACACCCAACTGACCTGGAACAAGTATGCAGCCAGTGAAATGTTTAGCTTCCGGATATGCTCATACTCTAATATGTGACTCAGCTCTACTTCATAACTACCTAAATTATATTTGCAGCATTAGTGCAGCAATAAGAACACCAGTCCTGCAGTCTCCTGGGAAACCGAAATCAGTATACCCAAAAGGCAGTCTTTGTAGCGGATTTCAAATCTCATGAGAATGCGCTCCTGCTCTGTTTAGCTAGCTAGGAATTAATTTTTTTCCAATAAAATGTTCTGAGTTCCTCATTCTAATGTGTGTGATAATTATAGTTTCGAGTACAATGCATCTCTATACATCAGAAGCTTCCTGACAGTTTTTCAAGAAACATCAGAACACTGTTAAAACTCACCAATGAGCAAAGACCATATATGGACTCCATGAGGCAGAACGTGCCATTACCAGTATACTGTGCACAGTTGTACAACAAGCCCTCAGTCCTATGGAGCCTGGCTGCAGCTGGTACCTTTGCAAATCCCACTCTTGGTGCCCATATCTAAAGGAATACTTGGGATCTGCCTCTCTATTGGCCCACACTGCTACACTAACTTTGACAGCTAAGGAGAAAAATGACACCAAACTAGATTTTTATGTTAAGAAGTCTGTATCGTCTTCCTTTACCATAAAAGTTATACTTCATTATATACTTGCATGACGTTTTCAGTGTTTGTTATGCAAATATCATCCCTATGAGAAAAAAAACCTGTGTCACTGGAATCCCTTTGTAAATTACCTTAGCTGAAAGAAGTTTATCACTGTTTAGGAACCATGGTTTCACTTTCTTCTCACAAGTCAATGAAAGTTCACTGCGGGTTGGCGAGGCAGATGAAGACCCTTTCCCTGAAGGCTCTGAGCCCTCCTGGTGCTCCTGGACACTCTCCTCACTAGGAGAATCATCTTCATCTTCCTCCTCCTCCTCCTCATCACCACTCCCCTACAGTGGATGAAACAAATATACAACGTATTTACATTTAGTAGGCTGTAAGGAAGATGTAATATTTTGAAGATGAAAATGTGCTCTTTTTCTACAAGGTACACATCTAGAGGTTTTCATGTTCAGTTCCATGACAAACGCTAGCATCACATTATAAAAAAATACAGGTTAGAAAAAATATGGTATTACACACCTATTCTGAATCAAGGACATTCAATCACAGCTGCATGTGTCATATGACACTAGTAATAATGATGCTAGTTTGCACCTTGTAATTCTATAACCTTTGCTACAGTCATTCAGATGCACGCTGGGGTCTGATATAGGAAGAAGAACCATCCCAGCATGAGTTTAGGTTGAAGAGGAAGCTAACCACTTTGACAATGCACTATTATTGATGTAAGATGATCAAGCAATAAAGTAAAAAGCAGTCCTTAGCATACAAGCACTACTTTTAATCAAGTTTAAACACTAAATTTGTTTAGCTGTTCCTATGGATAGTTGCTTTATAGAATACAAGTATCTCTGCAGAAGTTATTTTGAAGGCACACAATGCTGACAAAGATGACATCCTCCAGTTACCCCCTCTCAAAAGCTGTTGAATTGCTGGGATCATTCTTCTCTCTGACTTCACTAATGAGTACAATAAATGTGGTGTCAGTGCATGAGAGGTCCATTTCCTTTTCTCAACAGAAAGGGTAAATATTAACATTTGGATATCAAATACGTTTTTCCCAGGGGAACAATCAGTATTATATATGGACTTTACAATATATGGTAAAATAAAGGAGTGTATTATCCAACCACTCTAAGATCTGTGTTTGTAATTACATAAGAATTCCATGTGATGTCACCCCCCCACCTCTCTGCCATGTCCAATCAGAGAACACCTTGCATTCATTGAGAAAACACAAAACGATTTCTGAATGGCACCCATGTTGAGCGGGCAATTCCTGTGTTCACAATGCAGCTGCTTGGAATAGGACCTGGAAGCTAGTAGAGATAACTGAATTAGAGGTGTCTACAACAGTGTTCTATATCTTCTAAAGTAGGGGTGTCAAGCTCCATTTCATCATGGGCCGCATCAGCATTACAGTTGCCCTCAAAGGGCCGGTTGTATCTGTAAGATTATATAAATGTATCTATTCTTTATCATATTACATAATTGCATCTGCATTCAAATATTACTGGTTTTAGTTTCTACTATTATACAATTTATTGAAAAATGAGTTTTGGTATATAACTGTATTATTCTCATAATTATAAGCAGATGTGCGGAGCACCCCTGCCCCCCCTCCCCCAACTTCATATGTCAGGAGCTCCCCCACCCTCTTTTATATCACAGTGCACCCCCCTACCTTGTGCTGCTTCCGGGAAGAAGCTGGGGTGGAGCTGGGAAGTAGAAGGTGCAGATAAGGACCAGAGGAGGGCTGGGGTCAGCTGCTAGAGTCTGCTGAATGCTGAAACCAGGGGAGGAGATGATGGATGCACAGAGAGGAGGAGAATGTGTAGGAGGAATTCTGTCCTCCTCTCTGCTGCTGACTGCTAAGGTGGGGGGGAGCTAGGGAGGAGGGAAGGGGGCAGGGACGAGCCTCTCCACATCTACACAGAGAAGCACAGGATCTGGTGTAGAAGTTCTGTCCTCCTCTCTGTTGCCGACTGCTGAGACAAGGTGAGGGTGGAGATGAGGAGGATGCCACAGCTGCAGGAGAGATGCAAGGGTCACATAAATTGGCCTGGAGGGCCAAATTTGTCCCTGGGCCTTGTGTTTTGACACGTGTTCTGGAGGCACCCCACATGTATGATATATGCAAAGTCACATTGGTTCAGGCTGGATCAATTAAACTTTGTAAAAATTTACATACCTTCTTTAACATGTTAATGATGGGGGGTGGGGTGGGTGATCAAGAAAGCAAAATTAAAGGCGTTAACACTTCAGCTTATTTTGGCTTTGGTATTGGAACAATTTACTTTAGCAGCTGTGTCATTTAAAATGGTTAAAAAAATGTAAGCCATTTGTATGCACTATTAGCTTGCAATCAGTGATTTAAACCATTGTTCTAATACACCAAAACTATCCTGTCTAAGTGCATGGATCCGAAGCAGTTTCTTTGCATTTACTGCCTCAGTCACTTGAGCCAGCCACATTGACAGTTAAAGTGAATGCATTCTATGGATGAAAGTAAAAAACCTTCTGCGTATAGCAGCCCCCCCAGCCCCAGCGCGCCCCCCCCCCTATATTTACCTGAGCCCCACTGCAGTCCCGCGATGTACACAAGAGCCTTGGCTCTCCGGAGACTCTCCCTCCTCATTGGCCCCATTGGCTCCTGTTGCTGTCAATCACAGTCAGTGAGCCAATGAGGACATAGAGGGGGTGGGGTCAAGCCATGGCTCTGTGTGTGAATGGACACAGAGCAGCGGCTCAGGAGCAAGCCTGCTTGGGTGTCCCCACAGCAAGCTGCTTGCTGTGGGGGCTCTTGGCAGGAGGGAGGGGCCAGGAGTGCCGGCGGGGGACCCGAGAAAAGGAGGATCAAGGCTACTCTGTGCAGAACCACTGCAGGTAAGTATAACATGTTTGTTTAAAAAATAGCGTGCACCTTCTGCGCTAAGGAAGCTTACAGCAGCTCTATTGAAATAAATATATAAATGGCGGCTGCTAACACCTACACTTATTACCTAAAGTGACAACACAAAGTGAGATAGTGAAAATAATTGTGATATACTATAAAACATGCATTCAAAATTCCCCAATCCTAAATTCAAAAGGATCAAAAAACAGTGCAAACAAGACAAGTGATCAGAATGTCACTGATCAAACATAAACGGTGATAACGTGATCCCAGCACTGGGGGATAAATCATACAAACTGAAGTGAACAGTGCTTCAAAAAAATCACATCAACATATAATATTGATATATTAATATTGATGCAATATCCGGCGTGGTCGCCATCTTGGTGCTCCTAGTGAATCCCATGCAGTACACCCATAGCATGAGGTTAAATGATTGAAATGCTTGTTTAACACCAGTACTATGTGAGTAGAAAATTGGTTTTGTTTGAATACTTTTCCAATAAATACATTATTACACTATGGAGGTGGTCTCTTCTGTATTTAATCATGGGTCCTGTTGGAGTTGATCGTATCACCCAATGTTAAAGGGGATTTTGATGTGGTTTTACACTACTGCTGGAAGGAGTCCATTTAAACAGGATATCGTTTGTGGAGGATCCAGGGGTGATCCAATTGGTTTGGCCCATTAGGTCATGGTAAGGAGATGAGGAGACAATTCAGCCATTTTTGGATATACCACCAGCGGCTGCAGTGCACATCCACAGCACTTTTGCACGTTTAAGATTGTAGATCACCTGCGTTTATATACACTGATTCTGGAATTTGATTGGACATTTTTATGTATTTTGAGTCACCTGGTTGTTGCAAATATTTTCAATATTATATGTTGATGTGGTTTTTTTGAAGCACTGTTCACTTCAGTTTGTATGATTTATCCCCCAGTGCTGGGATCACATTATCACCATTTAGGTTTGATCAGTGACATTCTGATCACTTGTCTTGTTTGCACTGTTTTTTGATCCTTTTGAATTTAGGACTGGGGAATTTTGAATGCATGTTTTATAGTATATCACAATTATTTTCACTATCTTACTTTGTGTTTATCACACTTTGATTGTAATAAGACACTAGTAGGAGATTTATATAGAATCTCATGCACTTGAGGGTATTATTTTATCTGTGGATGATTAGGTCTATTATATATAATTTTGAAGTTTAGATCACATATATATGTTTATGCATAATTTTAACTGTTTTGAGCTCTACATCATTATTTTATTATATATAACATGTTTGTTTGTTTTTTTACAAAAAAAATGCCTTTAATATAACTTTAAAACTGTAATAAACTGGGCTTACATTTATCTGTGAAGCCCTTTGGAAAATGATTACCTGAGGGCTTCCTGCAGGACTGTTGTCTACAGAATTGGATGACCGCTTTTTCTTATGGACGAAGAAATGCTTTTTCCTCCTCCTCTTCTTGGCAGGTTTCTTTAGTGCAGCTTCTATGCTACGCAAAATTCCAGATGGATTGGCTAAGTTCCGCGCTCGGCGCTTTCCATAATAATGAGCTGAATGAAATGGTTACATACTGACAAGACTGTAAAGGGAGTTACTTCCTATATAGAATATACATCCTAAACATGAACATCTGTACAAAGTGGTAGCGGCTTTGTGGGCAGAACAAACTCTCACAAAAAAAATGAGGCACCCTCCGCAAACTACTGCCAAAGAAATACTGGGTCATTACACAAATGAACTACATCTGCAGATTATAACAGAAGTATGGGAGCTGCCACTGCTGATTTGAAAGACACAGACCTAGAACTAGTGTGAAGACAAGAGGTTTAGACTTCACTTGCTCCATGTTTCTTCCAGTGAAGCCATAGGTTAGCAATGACAGCTCCCATAACTTTTTTTCACAGGGTCACTTTGAAAATGTCCATAATGTCAGAATGCAGTTGTATTGGTTTTGTTACATGATGTCAACCTTATTTTGTACCACTAAATATTTTAATCATGCCTCAATATAAGGGCTTATGTAGATTTAACCTTAAAGGACAAGTATATTTTAGAAAGTAATGAGCCACCCTGTTTAAAAAGGAATCAGTTATCAAACTTTCTAAATGCATGATATTAAAGATTTGTTTATTTTATACCTACTAGCACATGTTTGTATTCTCTGAATACCACTGTTTGCATGCATAAAACAACAGCTGGAAGTGCCCCAATCTCGATGCCAAGTGTTTTATGGGTATTCAGCTATGTCTGTCCTTACAAATCACAGGAGGTTGCCCTGCTTGATTTTAAAAGCGAATCAATGTTGGTAATGATTATGGCTGGGATAGCATCTTCACTGATTGGCTGGACAGTTTCATAGGTTCCTGCCCTGCTTTTCTTCTGTTGATTCAATGTCTAGTTACTTTACATAATGTTCCTCATTTATCCCTGAAGCAGACATTGGTTATGCAATACAAGCCCTAGCATGCACTGTCAGTTTTACAATTCGTGCTGCAAGTCATCCCATCTCTCCTCCATGTGCAGTGTTTGCAGAGTTTGCTTTACCAGCATAATCAGGCAATGACTTAGGGTTTGTATTGCAGAGCTGCAAAACAGGCAATCAGTGGGGATGCTCCATAGGAGGTATCAGCCCTAAGCAGCTTGACATCCTGGGATTTGTGCATTGGAAACGATTGCTCATTGCAAGTTGCTAGAATTCTGCCTATTGCACTGGTAATCTAACATGCAGGAGGTATGGCTTTCCACTGGAATAAGGTATGATTTTCATAAAAAATATATGCATTCAATAAGGAAATCACTTACTATATTTGGTCTTTGTAAGCACAGAACAGTTTTCAGAGCACTGATCAAGAACCATAAATGGTCCAAACAAATTCGGGCAACATTCCAGTTTGATGCAGGTTTTCCGACAGAATTCTGACACCTGGTCTGATGTTCTTACCAGTTCTACTGTGGCACGATATGTTTTTCCTTTATATCTGAAATACAAACACAAAGTAAAAAATTTAATGACTTTTGACGACATGTCCACCCTTGGTCTATCAATGGTGAATAAAACTGGTGTACACTTTAATAGAATTCTAGTAAAACTGTAAGCCTAGCAGAAACTGAAATGCCACAAGACAGAACCTAACACACCATGTGATGGAAATGTAATTCTGCTTTTGTCTGTAAGTAATGTTATGTGACTACACAGCTGGGATATAAGGAAGAGCTATGCTTGTGCCTCACAACCTCATGTGTCTGAACAGGATATGGGCATCCTCTGCTCCAGGAGTCCAAAAAGAAAGAAGGAAATAAAAAATAAACAGTAAAAAAAATAATAATAAAGTCTTACTCTAACCCTAATTTTACACTGCTGTCCTAGGTCTAGGACTCTAAACTGACAGAAAAAGCTGTGTAATACTTACCTGCCAGAAGCCCCAGGCCCCCTCCTACTGCCAACATTTGTGGGTCACATGCACTTAGTAAAATACAGGATGTGTGTTTTGGCAGTAATAATGCTTGGCTGGCTTTGTCTTAATGTCATCTTTTCACAGACAGTGTGTTACCCATTGCTGCAGCTGTGTTCAGGTTTTGGCAGCCAGAGGGAACTTGAGGCTGCAAACTAGAAATTATCACACAACATTTCTAACAAGCTTAGGTTGTCCTTAAAGCAGGAAAGCCATTCTAGTTGCTAATGAAGTGCAGAGGGGTTGACCTTGTCTAATAAAAAGTCTTTAAAAACACTTACTTGGCTTTTAGTATCTCAGCATGCTGAGGCCATGATGGCTCATCTTGTAATTCCAGTTCACGTAAAACCCGACTGGGTTTGTAAGCAGCGTTGATGAGTAAAGAAAGGACCTGTAGTGAAGCAACACAGCATGTTTACTTGCAGCAATAAACATTTTGATTTGCATGTGTTCTCAGATTTTTCACCTTGCTGCATTGGTGACCGATAGACATGCACCACAAAGCACTACAGTAAATCACAGAAAATGCAGATAGCACTAATGGATCAACATGTGACCTGTTAGGCAGACAAAACTATAGCAACACCTTATAGGGAATAAGGCTGGGGATGGAGGAAGGAGTAAAATAAGCATAAGAAAACCCAGGAAGTTGAGAAGAGAGTGGAAGGCAGCAAAGAAAACAGGTGCTTATCTTGGTGGATTGGCTACAAGGGTACTCTATGGCAGGCTAGAAGGGATACCTGTAGCAAATAACTGGATGTAGGGTTTGGTAAGAAGATTGAGGGAAGGGGAAAATAGGCAGAATAAATCCCAAGAAGTGGAGAAAGGAGGGTATAGTCGAATGGAAGGCTGCAAAGAAAAGCAAACATATAGTCAAGTGGCTTGGCTCCAGGGTAAGTTAAAAAGGGGTACTCTCTTTTAGCAAAACCTGGGATGTAGGCTGCGGTGAGATGCAGAGCAGGAAGCCATTGAAAAAAATAGCACCCTTGTGCCAACACAGAAGAAAGAGCTGGCTATGCTCTGACAGCACAAGCAGGTGAAGTGTTTTATCTCAGTTCTTCAGAAAGAGCAGCTAGGATCTCTTCAGGCTTCTATCTTCCACAGATGGGAGAAGAAAAAAAAAATAGAACCTGGACCAGTGAGGTCCAGGGTGTCTACCCACTAAAGTTCATTAGGTCAAGACTGAGCAACCACTAACTGGAGGTGGTATATAAATAGAGATGGAGAAACTTTTTTTGTCCTGGCATCCAGCCACCTATTGGCAGAGCTTATATCAGGGGTATGGAATTGAAATTCACAGAGGTTCGGTCAGTAAACTTTTGATTGATCAGGTGTCTGAGACTCATATCGTGCCAGATATTTCATATCACAGCCCTTCCCCATCCGTATATTGCAGTTTTATCTTTACACTACAGCCCCCTCCCCTTTATATTGCAGCAGATTTACATCACAGAGCCCCACTTTATATCATAGCACCACTTTAAAATATAGCCCCCTTTACATTAGATCACCCCCTTCACATCATAGCATCACTTTACTTTACAGTGCCCTATACAACACAGAGTGCTCTTTACATAGCAGCACTCTCCTTTACAATATAGCCCCCCTTTACATTACAGCACCCCTTTATAACACATCCCCCCTCCTTTACAATACAGCCCCCCTTTACATGACACCACAGGCCCCCTTTGCATCACAGTGTCTCCTTTCCTTCAGTGTCCCCAGTCCCCCTTCACATCACAGACCCCTTCTTATATCACAGACCTCCTCCTTTACATCAGTCCCCTTCACAGCCCATCCCCCTTTATTTGCATCCCAGCCCTCTTTACAGCCCCTCCTTTACTTGCATCCCAGTTCCCTTCACAGCTCCACCTTTCTTGTACCCCAGTCCCCTTCACAGCCCCACCCCACTTTCCATGCATCCCAGTCCCCTTCACAGCCATCCCCCTTTCCTTTCATCCAAGTCCCCTTCACAGCCCTCGCATACCCCAGTCCCCCTCACAGCCCCCCTTTCTTGTAACCAAGTCTCCTTCACAGCCACCCCCCATTCCTGTGACCCAGTCCCCCTCACAGCCCCCCTTTCTTGCATCCAAGTCCCCTTCACAGCCCCCATACCCCAGTCCCCCTCACAGTCCCCTTTTCTTGTATCCAAGTCCCCTTCACATCCCCCCCCCCTAGTGCTTGCTGGGACCACCCCATGTCCTGGCAGTAAGTCTGTGGCTTGGAGCTTGGCCAGTGCCACCCTCTGAGTGTGCCGCACCTTCTGCCTGCCTGGGAGAGGACACCCAGGTTGCTGGGTGGTGGAGCCGCAGTCCGGATAGGACTGTCATTCAGTCCAGGTTTGGACCGCGGTCTGCCATTTCATGACGCCTGGCTTATATCAAAGACTTCTCATGTGTTCTCCCATAAACATTACCTATATATAAAAGGAAATTGGGCTAGAGCTGTACCAGTGGATTTGAAGTTTTCTAATCATTTGGGTGTGGGGCAAATGAGGTGACTGCCACCAAGTGCTTACATTTCTCAGTAGCAAATTAATTTAAATCACCAATGTATAAGTTCTTAAGATGTAAAATGGCATTGAACCCAGAAGAGAAAAAAAAAAAAAAAAAAAAAAAAAAAAAAAAAAAAAGGTATCTATTGCAATTTATCAATCCTTAAATGCGGTGGCTGCATTTGATTTCTTTTCTAGTGCAGTTTTTTCTCCTTTTTTTTTCCCCCTCACTTGAAAAATATTTTAAAAGGAGTATGATAACATCGAGATCACTTCCTACTACACCATTGTTTGGTGTGTGCATTAGTGCAGAGTCTTCATGGCGCTAAGGATGTCTGCCCTTCCAGGTATAATCATTGTGCAAACATTTTTAGGCAGTTACAGCAACTTTTTTTTCTTTTGGGATAAAAGTTTTAAAAACTGACCACTGTGAACACCCGTCAGTTTGTCTCACTCCTCTGACGCTATTGCTGAACAGCTTGTTTGTTTGGTAAAGGAATTTGAAAAATAGCAGACTTGCTGGCTGGATCACAAGGTGAAAAAGGAATCAAAAGCCTAAAAAAGGAAACCAATGCAGCTAACACAAAGGATTGGTAAGCTGCAATATATTACATTTGTTTTTGGATTTAATACAAATTTAATTTTTATCCTGAACATTTAATGCAAGAAAAATTGCCATTCTAAATTTGTCTAACACAGGATCTATTCTATGGGTTCTCTCAATGACCATACACTTTGCTTTTAAACGCAAGCTTTTTAAGCAGGTATTTTACCAGAAAATCATTAAGCCCTCAACCTTTTACCTGTAAAATTGCAATTTCAACAATACCTTCTCTCCAAGCCCTCAATCTAATTATGCAAGCCTTATGTCTTTCTCAAATCTAAAAATTACTGTAGTATGAGAACATTCTGATTTTGTACCTTAGAATTAACTCACATTTTTAAACAACTTGTTTTAATTGCTCCTGGTGAAGGCATAAAGTGATTGTAAACCTAATTTTTTTTTTTCAAAATCAAAATATGTTGTAAAAAAGAGGCTCTACTTCCCTGCTCTGCGCAATTGTATTGTTCCTTATCTTTTCTCCTGGAGTTCCCCGATTCTCTTTTTCTGCATGTGCCCCAATATCAAGCCATGTGCTAAGGGGGCACACATGCAGGCCTGTTCCCGAGCTGAGCTGTGTCCATCTACAAAACACACACAGGGAGGCTGGCCACGCCCCCTACTCCCAGCATTTGATTGACAGTAGAAGGAGCTGCAGGGGCGGCAGTAGAAGGTCTCTTGCCTTAATGCATATCATGCATTAAGGTACAAAGACCTTAATACATGACCAGTTTAAAGATGGTCTACACTTATTAACATCCTCAGTGCTCACTGGCTATATCTTTGAGCTGACGTAGTGCATACGTTGTGGAAACTCATGTTACATGCACTGTGGTGCCATTAACTTTGAATGACACATTAGAGCATTACAGGTAATGCAACATAGCACATTGTGTTACAAATTTTGTGTCAAATCTGATTTTCAGGACATTTTGATGAGTTGACAAAGCATTGCTTTCAGTGATCTGCTTTAATCACACCTCGAAAATGTAAATGGACCCGAAGAAAATTCCCCACCTCAAGAAAGTTTTAGTATACATACACAAACATGCAGGTTCCAAGGGAAGACTGTAGCATTAAAACACTTAGGTATATGTACATCATCCAAACAAAACAGTACAGTTGTCAGATTTCAACCAGCCCACCTAGACCGCATTGCCCTCACTTGGCAGGTTGGCAGGTACAAAAATTAATTTACATATTTCCAACATCTTTTGCCATGCATAAAAGTTTAAAGATATGGAATGGAAATACAAATATATCTTACCCCAATTGCCTATCCATTACAGGTCTACAGAAGCCAATCCTGGCACAGCTAGCCATCCTCCCTACAGTCTGTCAAATTTGGCTGGGCAACCCCGATGCTGATAAATGATACATTAATATCGAAAAGTTGTTCCCCTTATGGTCTATCCATTCCCTAAGTGAAGGTG